CTACTAGAACTACTGCTACTACTACTACTACTACTGCTGCTACTACTACTACTACGACGACGACTACTACTACTACTACTACTACTACTACTACTAGAACTACTACTACTAGAACTACTACTACTACTACTACTACTACTACTGCTACTACTACTACTACTACTACTACTACTACTACTACCACAACTAAGAGCCCAAAAGGATGATCGAGATCGATGACGACAAGAAGCTCTACCCTCTTTTCGACAAGAGGATGGCTCAGGAGGTCCCAGGCGACACCTTGGGCGATGAGTTCAAGGCCTCTTTGCCGCCTTTCCGCTTTCACTCGGAAAATTAAGGGTTTTGGGTTTAGGGGTCTATAGGGTTCAGGGCCTTAGGGTTTGGGTGAAGGGATTCAGGGCCTAGTGCATTGCAGTCCCTGCTCAAAAAGAAAAGGTTTAGGGTGTCTATGATGCCATAACCTTGCGCCATTCAAGCTACATGTGCCCTTGCCAAACCTGCACCGGATCCGGACGAAGCTCAGGGCTACGTCTTCCGAATTGGCGGCGGCAATGACAAGCAGGGCTTCCCCATGAAGCAGGGCGTCCTCAGCAACAACCGTGTCAGGCACTGCGTCCGATGGTTTCCGAGGCTTTCTTCAGCGCTGTGTCTGTTGAAGTAGGAAACTGGAACTGACGCTCCAAGCATGTTGGGTTTAGGTGTGCTTAAGGCTTCTGGAATTCTAGAAGGGGTCTACTAGGGGGTTAGGGTTTAGTGAAGGTTAGGGTCTCGGCCCTGAACCGGTCCGGAACCCGCTCGTGGCCAACGCTATATATGCCGAACCCTGATATGCGCGGTCGTGGTTTAGCCAGGTGCCCTAATGATTAGATCAGAATACCGTTCTGGGTATATCATGTTTAGTCATAACCTCAATATGGGACTTTCAGGGGCCGTTACAGAAAAGTTTTCAATGCCCACGCCGTGTTGTGTGAGGACTAGGCTGTAAAATCCTCAGTCCGAAACCCAGACACTAAACCTGGAATCTTGACTCCTTGGCCCTCTGCACGTCAGCTGGATGTGAAGTCAATAGCGGCTGCAGATTTCGGGAATGATCCCGACACCACGAAGCAAGGGGATTGGGGCTTTTTGTCAGTGGTTTCGGGTTGTGGTGGTTGGGTTTCTATCATTCAGTTTGGCTTTAGGATATGTAATCCCCTCCGGGCGCACGTGGTGAGCCAAGCTGACGCAGGCTGCTCTTCAAGAAGGGCATGTCCTGCTGCTCGGGGTGAAGCTGCGGATCTGGGGGCTTACGCAAGGGGGCCATTTTTAGGGCTTTGAAGCTTGAGGACCTTACGATCTCCATCAGCGTCACTGTCGAAGTCTCTTTGTAGGCTGTGTAGGGTTTATACTCAGGGGCACCAGAGTCAGGCTTCAGTTCCTGTTGGAATGCTGGAAGCACAGAAACATCTGCTGACGTGAAGCTACGTGCTCTCACTGCCAACGTGGCGCTGAAGACGGTGTTCTCGTTTGGGTTTGTTGTTTCTATTTCAGCTGTGCCATCACACCCTTCCCCCAGACCCGAGATTCGCAAGTCTTGCCGAAGGAGTGGGCGTTAATGACAAAGGCAACTAGAAAGCACCGCAGCTGCATAACCCGGCTTTGTTCTGCTAAAACAGCTTTCACGATCCCAGGCTACCGGGAGCGCCGGGGCGGATGCCGAAAGAGGAAGTCTGTCAGGCAAGGACCCTAACAACCCATCTCTTCGTGGGATCCAATGACCAGATCGTTTTTGGGCTAAGTCCCTTGCCAAGCTCGTCTGTCAGAACCCTGCCACTAGCATCTTAGAAGGCGTGCTGTCTTTGCTCCACGGCGAGTGGAGCTCCTGCTTGAGTGGGCTTTCGGTGGTTTGTCCTGACAGGGCATGGAAGTCGTATTCTTCCCTAAACCCTAAACCCTTGCATTTAGGGTCAGGGTTTAGGGCATGCTCGGTTTCGCCTCGGTTTGCGGTTCGGCACTGGGCACTTGCAGCTTCGGAGCCCCGAAACACACCCCCCCAAGTGGGCACCTAAACCTAAACCCTATAGACCTGTAGCATGGCATGGCATCCGAAAGCCCTAAACTTCAAGATCTGAATCCTTGATCCAGCCACAGTAAACATCGTTCAGCCCCGTCGTAAGGGTTGAGGGATCAGGGCTTTTTCGCACCCGGGAAGGCCAAATTTTTCATCCTAGCGGCACATCCGAATGTCTTACGAATGGCAGGAACGACGAAGCCTTCTGACACGAGCAACATCGTAAATGTGCTTACTTTCACCAGGACCTTGGGAGTACTATGGAGAAGCTTTGTAAATTTTGGGAGACCTGGCAGAGAACTTAACCAGACCCACAGCTCGAAACCCATAAGCCCTAGACCCATAAACCCATAAACCCTAATCCCTGAACCAATAAACCTAGTCCCATAAACCCTAAACCTAAACCCTAAACCTAAATCCTAAACCAGAATTCCCATTCATGCTCAGGGGGTGCGTGGTCGGCCCCGATCTGGCAGCGCCTGCTCTCAACGAAGTGTGGTTAGGGATTTGGAGCTTGATAAGGGTGCTATGGGGTTCTACAATGTTCTACAAGGTGTTGCGAGGGTGATAGTATAAGTACATAGGTTTTTTAAGGGGGCGTTGTTTCTGATTATTCAGAGGGCCAGGAGATCACGCATCCCAATAGTTGTGACTGCCCGGTCTAACACATGCCCGGACATAAGCACTGAGCGACTGACATCCTTTCCAGGCCTGCTGCAGAGCGCATGTATCACATGTAATGCCGGAGGTCCGCAGGAACAGAAATTATGTCATAAAGGTTATATCCCGTAATGGCCCCTGTATTTATACATGTAGTTATGTATTTGTTTATTTATTCATTGTTGCTGTACTATAATGTACGTAAAATCGTATGCTGACTCTTTTAAAGGCCCCAGAGTCTAGCAGGTTCTGAGCCTGGTCATTGTGAAGAAGGCCAATGTCCACGCTTGGACTGACGACTTCAGGGGGAAGTTAGGGGGCTCTAGGGATTGAATCTGCTCTAAACGGGTTTAGGGTGTAGGGGTTTAGGGTTTAGGGCTTAAAACTGCGCTAATAGTGTCGGGAAGCGGATTATTGTTTGAGACTGGTGGGTTGTTCAGAAGGGACTGCTGTTTGTCTGTTTGCTTGTTGAGGTCGGGCAGATTCCCCAGCATCCCTTTGTTTCGATATATCTATATATATATATATATATGTATATGTATATATATGTATATGTATATGTGTATTTATATATTTATGTATGCACATACATATATATATATATATGTAAATACACATACATACACACACACACACACATATATATTTTATGCTATTTGTCTGTGTATGTTTCGAATATAAACACACACACACACACATATATATATATATATATCGGTACACACACACACACTTATATACCTGTCTATCATAGTACCGCACACATATGTATAATATCCATCTATCTATCTATCTATCTATCTATCTATTTATCTATCTGTTTATCTATTTGTCTATCTATCTATCTATTTATCTATCTATCTATCTATCTATCTATCTATCTAATCTATCTATCTATATATTATGTTACACTTTATATAGTATTATTATTGTATAAATGCTTTGCGGTCTTGCCAAGCCCCTAAAACCCGAACCCAACGGACCCCAAATCCTGCATGACATTGGCCTAGCAGCACCACCTGCGAACCTGCTGGGAGGGAGTTTGAATGAGTTCACTCGGGACGAAGCTCCTACAATTCAGGGTTGAAGAGCATCGCTAGTGGGATCCTATAGAACTGAGGGTTAAAGCAATACTGTTACTGAAGATCTTACAACTTAAGGTCTACATTTTTAAGTTTCCCTTCTGTCTGAAACTTTCAAGTGCCAGGGTGCCGAGGATATCGCTGGGTTGACGGACGACCAGAAGCCTCGACGACTAGGCAGCGGCTGCAGCGGGGACTTCAAAGGCTTAAAGCTCTTGGAAAAGAGGTGTTTAGAAAACCGCGGTACCAGCGTTTTACAGGGCATGTGGGGGTTTCGGGGGCTTGAGCTTCGAGGTTTTCGGGGTTGCTGGCTTTAGTGTTTCCTTATTACATTTATAGTACATTGGGCCCCAAAACCCATTCTAATTATTAAGGCCCCTACATTCTAGAACCCTCTTCTGGTAGATCCCTTATAGAACCCTTTAAAGGAACCATTTACGGATCCCTTTAAATGAACCCTAAGCACTTCTAATTATTAAGGCCTCTTCATTAGGACAGGGAGCGCCAAGTCTTGGTGAGAGTTAACTGAAGTAAACTGTATTGCGGAGCATTCAACGCAAAGGAGTTTTTTTTGTTTTAACTGCTGTTCCATGAGTCTTCACTACTGAAACCTTTAACATAAAAATCTGGAACCCTAAAGCCCTGAAGCCTTAAACTACTACTACCACGGCCACCACTCCAAACTCCACTCTAAGCCCTACAGCTCGAATCAGGACCCAAGCGAGCCAGCAATATCAGAAAGCTCTTCGGTTTGGAGAAGAAGGAACGCGTTGGCGGTGCTGGGTTCCTCTTGGAGCTGTAGGGCTTGCGAGGGGCCTCGGGGCTTTGGGGCTTTCGGGCTTTAGGGTTTTAGGGTTTCAGGGTTTAGGGTTTAGGGTTTGGGGTTCAGGGTTTAGGGTTCAGGGTTCAGGGTTTAGGGTTCAGGGTTTGGGGTTCTCAGTTTCCCTGCTTATGGTTATGCATTCAGGCTGAATCTTGCGCGCCTCCGATGCCCCGTCCTTGAAGCTCAAAGGAAGCCTTGTATGCTTCGGTTGTGAATTCGATCTCCGAGGCTTTGGTGTTGACATGCGGAAATCCGAAGAGACTCTTGAAACGAAGTGCGAGAACCTTAGAAAAAAATACGGAAAGTCTGAATCGCGTCAGCGAAAGACATGCTGCCTGAACCCGGTCTCTGGCTTTGCGCCCCAAAGCCCAACACCCAATGGCTTCTGGGATAGACCCGGGTTTAGGCTACCCATGAAAATGCAAGGAGGCTAGCCAAGATTGACTTGCGGGGCTTTCGGCCAAACTCAAGTCCCAAAGTCCCGAGCCCCAGCTTCTTCAGTTTCCATGGGGCTGATTAACCCCGTGCTATGCTCTCGAAGCTTGCTTCCCGCAGTGAGACAGCCCCTAAAACCTGATGACATACATACATACAGAAATACATACATACATACATACATACATACATACATACATACATACATACATACATACAAGCACACATACACACACACACATATGTATAGAGAGAGAGATAGATTAGATTAGATTAGATTAGATTAGATAGATTCGGTTAGGTTAGGTTAGGTTAGGTTAGATTGGATAAATAGATAGATATATGTGCGGAACAGGATGATGTCCGACAGTTCGTTGTGCGGCGCGAGGCAGCCTGATTCATTTTGGGACGCCGGGTTGAGTCAGGTTGCAACTTTTTCGCGTTCCTAAACCCGACTGCCGATCCGCGCAGCCGTCTCTTACGGGTCAATAGCTGATATAAGTATAGGGGCCTCAATAACTGCCTATACTATTTTCGGGGTTGCTTATCATAATTATCATAACTATAGCATAATCTACCCACCAAAAACCCTATTCTAACCCCGGGGGCCCCTACATTTGCGTGACAGAGAAGTCGGACTTGGGTTCGTTTTCCGACAGGCACCAGAAATCCGGGAGCTCCGACAGTAGAAGGTCCCTGAATCCCTGGCAGTGACCTGGGAGTTCCCGAAATTATGGGCTACCTTATTTGGGGACCTTATAATAAGGATCCTACTGTTTGGGGCGCTATATTGGGGCCCCCTGTTTTCGGAAACCCCCAACTTCCAGGCTGTGCATGTGTGTCCACAGCTTTAGGCTGCTACAGCTGCTAGAGCCAGGGCCAGGGTTATGTAGGCTTCATTGGAACATCGACAGGATCGGGACAGTCAGAGCGCAAGCCCTGCTGAGTAAAGTGGCATATACTGCGAGCAGCTAGAGGGCTTAATGTTTATTTTAGGGTTTTGGGCAGGAGAACCGCATCTACGATTTCGATGCTGGAGGGAGAGGGAGACTGACGGCTGTTGCTGAAGAAAGTGGAAAGGTCGCATCGAGTTCCGTAGATACCAACCAAGCGATTCACATGCTTGTGGACTGTATAAACACTCCATAACACCTCATCATCAAACCCTCTGAAACCCCATCCAAACCTTGTACCGGCAAGAATCTAGAGGCTTAGCAGGTTAGCACAGCTGAGGCTTCGCTTAACTACCATCACAATTATGGCAAGATTGCCATAATGTACTATAATATACTATAACATACCATAATATACCATAATATACTACATTACTATAATATATACTATAGTATACCATAATATACGATCATCTACTATAATATGTTTTCATATACTATAATCTACTATAATATTCGATCGTCTACTATAGTATACGATGATATAGAACTTCCGCTTCCTCAGCCCGAGACGCTGTCAGGTGAAGGAGGGAAAGAAGACCAAGGCCAGGAGTCACGGGGAGCTTTTTCTGTAGGGGCCTTTATAAATTACCTACATTATTGGGATTCCTTTAAAGGGATCCTTAAACCCACATTATTATTAGGGTTCCTTTAAAGGGATCCTTAAGGTTTAGGGTTTAGGGTTTAGGGTTCTTATAATTACCTACATTGTGAGGGTTCCTCTAAAGGGATCCTTAAAGGATTCTATAAGGGATCTATGGTGGGGTTCTATAGTAGTGGCCTTCATAATTCGATGAGGGTTCCTTTAAAGGGATCCTTAGAGGGTTCTATAAAGGATTTATGGTGGGGTTCTGTAGTAGGGGCCTTGATACTTGGGAGTTTCCGAAAAGAAGGGGTACCTTATTGTGAGGTCCTCATAAGGATCCATGGGGCTTGGTGTTACGTAGGGTTTCGGGTATATTGTAGGGGCCTAAATAAATACCTATACTATTTTGGGCGGGCTCCTTACTATAATTATATTATAAAGGAAGGCATAAAGGAATATAGGGGCCTTAATGATTACCTATACTAGTTTAGGGGTTCCGTACTATAATTATACTACATTATTCTGGGGTGCCTTGTAATAATTATAGTATAACGGGCCCCAAAACCCTATTCTAGTTACTAAGGCCCCTACAGTATACTTGTCTTATCGAGAGTTTCAGGGCCGGTTTAGATATGGCGATATAGTGATGATCTTCATCTTCCCCATGGTCATCATGACAGTATGGTAGTGGTCATGGTCATGGTGACCACCATGGTCAGGGTGAAGACGATGATGATGATGGTGGTGGTGGTGCTTATTAAAGATGCTTGATGCTTATGATGGTGGTTGTGGTGGTCGATGAGTTAGTTTTCTGGTTACATTACTGCTCGCTGATGCCTGTGCTGGTGCTGGTGCTGCTGGTGCAGGTGCCGACGCTGGTGCTGGTGCTGGGCTGGTGATGCTGGTGCTGGTGTTGATGCTGCTGTTGCACTGGTTGCTGGTCCTGCTGGTGAAGATGATTTGTTTGTTTCTTCCAGCTCAGCTCTTTCGGTTACGCTTCTTCTTGTTGCTTGTTCGTTTTTTCCCGGCCTAAGCCCCAAGAGCAAGACATGTCTGGGAAGCGCCCTGGGACGCAAGACCCTGAACTCGACTCCAAATCAAGCGGTTGTCAAGTTGAGCAAGAAATCTAAAATCAAGCCCTAACCGCCCAATGCCTTAAACCATCCACACCCAAGGCCCCAAACCTTATGCGCCGAAAGCCCCAAACCCTACACACCCTAAAGAGAGGCACCGAAGATTCAGCGACTCATCACGCCGTCCCTCTTGCAGCGGAAGCGCCACAGACCTACATCGCGGGTTTAGGTGTTGCCGGTTTCGTGGGATTCGGGGTGAAGTCCGTGCGCATGATGCTTGGAGCGCTTTGAGTTCAGGTAACGGCGTGCTAAGACCTGTGTGTTCGAACGCGGGGATCCAAGATATCAGGTTCGGGGATTGAACAATGTCATTGGCAAGGTTCACAACCTGGAGAGTCCGTTTTCGAAGTGTCATGAGGCTACGACCCATACAAGTTCGACCTGCGACCCCACGTTCAACAGCAGTCGCTGAAAAGCTGTATGCCGGAAACTGAAACGGTCCCAATGACCTATACCCTAGGCCTGCCGACCCACGTAGAGACCATGTACAAGTATAACATATATCCAACCTGTTTCTCAGCTTTAAGGCTTCTATACTGTACTAGGCGAGATGCTTGCAACTAGGAAGGCATGATGGGCAGATACCCTAAACCCTATAAATCCTAAACCCTGAACCCTATAACCCCTATAATAAACCCTATAAGCCCTATAAGCCCTAAATCCTTAAAGCCAAGTGAAGAATCCCACCTTTGGGGCTCAGGAGGCCTTGGGCTCGGTCTACTTAGGGTCTAAAGGGATCAAAGGTAAAGAACTACAGCCCCTTCCTCGTCCGTAAATAACATAGACTCAATTAGAATTCGGGGCCTTGTCCCAGCTGATTCAGGCCCATCCTTCGTAGTCTTTTGGCGTTTTTTTTCATGGGTGTATAAGACCTCGGCAGGGTTTAGGGTTTAGGCTTTAGTTGGTCTGAAGTCACTGCTGTGGGCTGTCAGTCCGGCCGAGATCTGACAAGGCCATTGCAAAAGGGTTTAGTTGGTTTCGGCTTCGGGTCTCCTCTGCCCCCCCCCTCTCCCTAAAACGCTTAAAGCTTGAGGCTACTTCAAGGCCGTCGTGCGCAAGCGCATGGAGGTGGAGTCCTGGAGAGTTCGTAGAGTAGAGACGAATGTAGGCCCCGCACCCCAAACCCTGAAGCCTAAACCCTGTATTAATCCTAGCAGTACCTAGATTCCAAAGCTTGCACCACCATAGGTCCTCTGCCCTGGCTACTAGTTGAACTAGTTGAACTAGTGGTGTATCGACTGCAAGACAGGCGACGCCAATCATCCGAAGGACAGTCGTGCTCAAAATCATACGAGTAGCAAGTCGCTGAACGTAGGCTCAACCTTGTAAGTTCTCAGAGTCGGGAGAAGAATAGTAGCAAGCCTCTACAATACATTCAGAACAGCTTTGTCAGGGCTCTTCTCTCGAAATCCACAGTCCGAGTTATGCCTTAGGAGGTTGAGACTGCAGAGCTTTGCAGTAGAAGCCAAAAAAAGTTGAAAACCCAATAGCATCAGTCCTTAAGAGTAATGTGTAGGGAATCAGAGCACTAATTGACCATAATCCGGTTTCCAACTTTTTTTGGGAGGGTTCCCTAAACACTAAACCCTAAACCCTAAACCCTAAACCCTAAACCCTAAACTTACTATATGGGGTTGAGGTGTCGGCCTTCAGAGCTTCGTCTCCCTTAGGCTCCATGTGCCCATACAGAGTAAAACCCTAGGCCTTAAAGGGGGGTCCTAAATAGGAACTTTAAGGCCTATAGGTATATACTATATGGATACATGGAGCCGTAGAGTTTTAGCCTTCAGGATTTAGGGTGTTTTTGGATTTAGAGTTTAGGGGTTAGGGTTGTATAGGGTTTAGGGTTTAGGGTTTAGGATAGAATTTAGGGGTTAGGGCTTATAGGGTTTAGGGCTTAGGGTAGAGTTTTGGGGTTTGGGTTGTTTCGTCCAAGTACGTGTGTGATCTGGACGTCCTTGCTGGAGCCAATGAATCCGGACTGGGCATGGGTGTAAGCCTGTCTTGTTGCCTCGTGGTCCTCAGTAGGGCTTTTAAAGGTTGTTAAGGCCTGTGGGGTTTCGGACACCTGATGCTTAGAACGTCTCTCTCTCTCTCTCTCTGTCTCTCTCTCGGCATCATTGAGGGGCAGCTTTGTTGGCTCCATGTTTCTTTCGAGGACGTGGGCTTCGCAAAGACTTTCGGGTCGTGCTGAAGGGCTTTGGGTGAACTATGAGAAAGAGCTCAGCAAGTCTTGTTGAGAATATACCCTGGCCTCCACCCTCCATGTTACTTCAACCCTAAACCCCTAAACCCTAAACCCTAAACCCTAAACCCTAAACCCTAAACCCTATCCCTAAACCCTTTCAGGGGCTCCGCGCCCCTGCAGGCCGGCAAGCAGATGAAGGCTGACTATGCCCAGCGGCTCGCAGAGTACAACCACGAGAAGCGGGAGGTTCTGGACCCTGGGTGGTGGATGTCCCTGCGTTTCCTTATGCGAAGATATGCCCTCAAGCCCACTTAAAATCAGGAATGTTGTTCTTCAGTGTAGAGGCCCTATTCCAAAAGTTGCGGGCCCTGATTATCGGAGAATCCGTGTAGCAAGCCTTTTGGGGCTCCTTTTTCAAGAGCCCTTTCAAGAAGGGCACCGTTTTTCAAGAACCCTTTCAAGAAGAACCTCATGATTCTTGAGGCCACTAAATTGTGACACGAAAAAGAACCCTAGGCCGTGCACCCCATAAACCCTTAACCCCAAAGCCCAAAGCCCATACCCTTAGCCCGCCATAGCTCCTTCCTTGGTTTAACCAGTCATATATCTAGAATCTAGGATCCTACAAGGTGACCCAACAGAGGAATTACAATGGAATGGGTAATGTAGGGGTCTCAATAATTGCCTATATTCTCTTGGGGGTTCCTTACTCTGAGCAGACTATAGAGGACCCCCAAACCCTATTCTAGTTATTGAGGCCCCTATATTAAACCCTGAGACCGTGCGAAGTGTCCAGGCGCATGCAACAGAGATGGCCAAGAAGAAGAAGAAGCAGGAGTTTGGGATTTAGGGCTTAGGCTTGTGGGTGTGTGCTCTTGCCTGAAGAGGGGGTGAGAGTTGCATAGGCGGCTGGCACCTCAGTCCGTGCTGAAAAGGGCTTGTGGGTTCAGGGAGTTTTCTTCTGCGTGCCGGCAAGAATTGCGCTTGGCGGAAAACCTGTGCATCCTATCCTACATCTCCGGCTACGAATCTCGAGCCGAGGGTTTGACTTGAAGGATTAATTGTTTCGCTATCTGCTGATTAGTCGATGCTGACCCCTAAACCCGAAAGCCTAAACCCTGCACTTGACATGCTCTCTCATAATGTATATAGCTACATTGTCACACTTCCGGGAAGCTTACCGTCGTTATGGAGGTGTGTGGATAATTTTCCATGATAGTGATACCCAGAATTCTGAATCCTGGTTCCGAGTGGTTTGGAGTGCAGCCACTGCAAACGAGCCGAGTCTGCGCGATGTCCCGCCGCCGCACAGCACGAAGGACAAGCTGGCGGTGCCAGCAAAACACGAGTTACATCTGTTCGTGCTTCGTCAGTAGTTGGAAGCATCCAGACTGGGGTTCATTGGGATTTGTCGTCTCGTGTCTGCTCCCCGTCCTCAAGATACATTCGGCACGCCTTTCCCAAGCTCTATGACCACTTGCACCTCCAACATGTTTCCTTCAAGCTCCTAAAGACCTCGACATCCGAGCAGCCATGGTGTCAACTCCGTTGCACAGCGCCGTCTTGGAAGGAAACCTCGAGGCGCTAAGTGCGCCTGGAATGATGGCTTCCTCCGTACTTCGTGGTAAGTTCGAGACCCTAACCCTAGAGAACTTCAAGTGGCCACAACCTCGCTCTAAGGCTTAGTTCTTTGTACGAGCAATGTGTGGTAAGGAGCCTTTATGTCGACGGGGTTCGGTCCCTTTCTCCAGGTGATCTATACCAAGGGTCTTCCAACTCGGGATCCAAAGAAGGTGTCCCATTGAGGTCCCTACGATATGCTCATTTCGTTTCCCTAACATGGACATGGGCATTTTGAAACCCCCATAATAAGGAACCTCCAAACTAGCATTGGTAATTATTTGGGGCCCTAAACCCTAAAACACTAAAACCCTAAACTCCAAATCCCTAAAGCCTAAACCCACAAAGCCCTAAACCTCAAAACCCTAAAGCCTAAACCCATAAAGCCCTAAACCCTAAAAATGTAAAGGGCCCCATAAAGGGCCTCCTCCGAAATAGAGTATCATTCGATTCGGGCCAGCTGAAGGGGCAGAGTTCGACCAAATCGGGATTGAAGCCACGAAAGCTGCGAGGTTAATGTAGGGGCCTTAAGGATTAGTAATTTGAAGAGGGTTTTGAGGTATATTATATATACTAGAATTATAATAAGGATAATGTAGGGTATAGTACAGGGCAGACTGCGGCTACGAATACTCCCTGAGACCATTGTACAAAGTGAGGTCTTATGCCCCTAAATGGTAGACCAAATATAGGGGCCTTATAATAATAATAATAGTAATAATAATAATAATAATAATAATTAGAATAGGGTTTTGAGGTATATTATACTATACTTATAATAAGGAATCCCTTAAAATAGTATTGGTAAATATTTAGGCCCCTATCTTATTGTTTGTGGGTCGTCCTGCGGGAGAGGCGTCACATGTAATATTGGGGCCTGAGTTATTACGAATAGGGTGCTTTTAGGCCCCTACTTGAGGGCTTAGGGGTAAAGGCTTCGATGGTCAGGTTGTGTGGGCTCAGTGGTATCATGCTTCCATGAGTCCCAAACCCTATCGAGCACGAGTGCAACAAAATCCCATCAAGACCTTCATGATCGTGGTGATGGTCGCCACGTGCGTGAGGGTGCGCGCGCATGTGTGTGTGTGTGTGTGTGTGTTGCATATATATATATATATACACACACATATTATATTTATGTGTGTGTGTGCGAAGTCAAGGACTGCTGGACAAGTCAGCCCTTCAGGACATGTGCCTGTGTCTGTCACACCCTGTCTCCAAGGGAATGTAGCGCAAGTTAGGGCAGCACATTTGGCAGCGCAGCAGGGGGTACCTGGAGCCTGGATGGAGCAGGTGCCAAGGAAAACACCTATCCTAGCGTGATATTAATTCCGGATGCGGAAATGGCGTACCTGCAAGAGTGCTTGTGGCATCTTGAACGTAACGAGGCAACTATATAGCATCTTGGCTGTGCATGATTACCCTTGACGTTGTATCTCAGCAATGCCGCCATCTTTTCAAAGTAATCCTTATGCATTGGTTCGTTCGCAGATGATGTGCTTAGGCTACGGGTTCAAGGCGTTTGTCGGAAGTCTGAAGTGAAGGCATCTGTGAAGTTGAACGACTCATCTGATTCCGCACAATTGACTTCAGACCGGGGGACATGTGTCAAGTGTGTGTGTGTGTGTGTGTGTTTAGCTGTAGCCTGACCGCCGAAACCGCAGCACAGACTTAACATGACTTAACATGATAATCCAAAGCCTTGAAGACCCTAAACCCTAAACCCTAAAACCCCGTTAATGTCTGCGACTTGTTGCCTGAGAGGTGGTCAAGTTGTGGCTTCGCGAAGATGACGCCGTGAACAAGCCGGTGCCTGCCTCGGCATGTCTTTAAGCGTTAGCTCCCTTTAATAGTAGGACAGGTAAGTTGAGGTCTATAGCTGTCCGTAGGTTTTCTGGTCTAGGCCATGTCAATGTAGGGTTCAGCATTTCAGGCTTCCCAAAACCGCAGAAATACTGGGACTTGGGCATCGAGGGCAACAAACCACCCAAACATCCCAATTCGCAGCGGCATCCTGTGTGATTTTGGAGGGTCTTGGGTGTTGAGGCTCAAGTCCCTAATTCTAAAGCCACGTCGCTCAGGTCTAGCACAGCTTTTTCCTGTTGCCGAAGTGTAAGGGTCATGATGATGTCGTATGACGTTCGATGAATGATAGAAACAGCATTTATGATGCTGAACCGAACTGATAATGCCCACATAGAAACGACAATGATGATGCTAGCTATACAACAACAATCACCTACAAGTGCAGAGATGAGCCGCAAAGTGGCTGGCAGCTTCCACTCTGCTCCGGGGTCTTCTGCTGGGCGAGGGGTCAAGCCAACGGGACATACTTATAGAAGCCTATATAACTGCCGATTTTTTACTTTCCAGATCCTTGCTATACTTGTATATTACAACGTATTCCAAAACGCTGGCTTTCATGATTACCATCCCTATGTTAGTTTTGCATCCGGCTTTTCGTCGCAGTCGCAGGTTCAGACTGGGTCTGTTTTCTGAGCGCTTGTCCCTGAATGAGGGGGCATAAGCTCTCTAAGCTGATATATGAGCCAAACCCAACCTCCTCTCGCTGGAAATTCGGCGTGAACCCTAAACCCCCTTTAAGTTGGGATCAGCATACTTTACTGGAGGATACTTACACGAACCACACTAGGTTGCAGCTTCGGGCTTACAGCCCCTAACGTGGAAACCGTGAGCTGTACGATGTAAGAACCTTTTAAGACCCCCTGGCAAAGGACCTTTTGGGGGACCTCCCCCTCCACGCAGCCGCGCGATCGGGCGTCCAATCGGCTCGACGTATCACCAGGGCACTGTTGGGGGCATGGGCGGACCTGATCTTTGGATGCACGGGTCCCTGCATATGGGTAGTTCTCTAAATTAGGGTCCCTTTTATAAGGGTGCCGTACTACAGTGGAGACCTAAAAAGGGACCCTAATTTAGAGAGCTACCCATATACAAGCCTCAACAACTTGAGCACTAATGCTACTCCTAAGGGCCTCTTTGACATACGCATATCATGATATGCCCAAACTACTCTGTTCTATTTATTGAGGCCCTTTGTTACTTGTGCAACGGTCTTGGAGGTTCAACTGAATGCTCTCTTTACTAGACTAAACCCTAAACCCTAAACCTTTTTGCTTTTAGGCAGGTCTCTTTTACTGCTTCGGCGGGAGAAAAGGCCACTACACATTAAAACAAAAAAACCTTGTTGCTTTTATCTAAGCCTAAACCCTAAACCCTAAACCCTAAACCTTTTTGCTTTTATTTTCAGTGCAGGGTAGAATCGGAGATGTCAGCTCCCAGAGCCTCTCGGGTTTAGGGAAAAGGGCCGAGTCATTATGGCTCTTCTCTAAATGGTGTATATCTATATCTATGTATATATCTATATCTATATATATATATATATATACATGTGTAGTTACACATATACGTACATGTGTATACATACATAGGTATATATGTATATATGTGTGATCCTCGCCTGACCTGGTCGAGTGCGAGTGCCAAATCATATGTGTGTGTATATACACATATACATACACAATGGGCATATAAGTTTGTGTATAGATGTGCACGAGGACATACATAATAACATATCACACACTGAAAAACACTGCTCTGACTATTCAGGACGCCTCTGTCGTTCCTGGAGCCGCGTCTCGTGTGTAGGTTTTAGGGTCAGTCCAGGGCTCTGAGCTTCCCGAAATTTTTTGGGTCGTAGGATGTTGGGCTCTGGATCGTGAGATGGGGCTCTGGGCTGCGATTGCGGCCACGCACCCTTGAAGCTCCCCATCCCCGCGGCTTCCGGCCCTTGACATGCACTTCTTCGCAGCTGGACGAGTACAGTTTTGGGGCTCATGAACTCAGCAAGTGAGACTTCTAAGGAACACTCCGAACCGGTTCCAGGAGACGCCCTTGGACACAGCTGTGTTCTGGTGCATGAGGCATCGATTGGATGGTGACTGTAACAAAGAGCGGCACTGCAAAAAAGTGGCCAAGTCGCCTGGGTCGCAATATGACAATCTGGGAGTTTACTTTTTTGGCAGGTGCTATGATTAACTCATTTGGAGATGCTTTCCGCAGCACCTGTCTACCCTGCTTCATCTTGAACCGTTTGGTTAAATAGTTCCGTTTGCGGAAGGATTCGGCCCTCTCTTTGCGACAGTCGCTGTGTCCAGTTTCAGAGTATCTAACCCGGAGAGAGCACTTCCAAACACCCTAAATCACCCTTAGAACCCCCTTAGGCCATCTTGAACCTTTACCATGGGTTTAGGGTTTAGGGTTTAAGGCCCCAAGTGAGAAAGCCCAACGTTCCGGGGCCGTTGTTAAATCCTGAACTTAAACTCCCCGTGCCCCTAAAGCCTAAAGCCTAAACCTTAACACAGAGCCTAAAAGAATCATCCGTACTATTGTGGGCATTCCCCTGTTATACGATACCCCAAACCCTTATTCTAATTATTAAGGCCCCTACATTACCGACCTTCCCTACTTGGCCAAAGTCTGAGGCCTTTTCGCCCAGGTAGGCCCCTGGGATAGTTTACGCTTTCCTGTCTGAAGTCCTGGAGGATCCTAATCGAAGATACCATCAGTATCAGGCCTGGGAGCTTACACCGTAATATCGGGGCCTTAATGATGACCTATACTATTTTGGGGCGTTCCTTACTATAAGTATGGTATAATGGGCCCCAAAACCCTATTCCAATTATGAAGGCCCCTACATAAGATAACCCTTCACCCCAGCCCGGAGATCCTACACCGTACTCTCCTGAAAAGTAAAGAGATGTGCAAAAAGCCTTTTCAGCTATGACCCCAAAACCACCGAGCAGTAAATCCCAAACCCTGGCGCCCCGACCACCCGAGGCTCCTGCATGAAAAGGGAGCACAGAGGCAGACCACATGGCTCAACAGCCGACACTGGGCAAACATTCTCAGCCAACTGCAGGACGTGGAGGAAGATGTTGAGGCGCAGCGAGTAAGAAAAGGGCTTACATAGTTAGAGTAGGGTACCTTGAAAAGGTCGATAAGAGCTACTGTAAGGAATACTATTTTCCAGGTTTCCATGAAGGGATGGGGTTCTGTAAGTGTACTATAGGGTTTAGGGTTTTGAACCCGTCTTTCTGCAAACCCGTCACAACACTTAATCCTATGGGCCTATGGAGAGATCCAAAAACCAGTGAACAAACATCAAAGGCCATGCACCTATGAGCCCAAAGAGGCAAGGAGTTTGTGGAGCAACATACCATGGCGGATGAATTCCGTACAAAGCCTTCATTGCTCTGGTTTTGCATCACGCGTCGGTTTAGTAGTGGGATTGAGCTTGGGGCTTTTGGGTGTCATGCTCAAAGTGTGGGGTTGAGAGTTTGAGGTCGAAGGGTATCGTGCTCATGAGGTTGTCGGTGCGAACTCTAGACCCTAGACCCTAAACCGACACACTCAGTCTGAAATCCCTCAAGTCGAGGACACCTGTTGGTTACTTGGTGAGTCAGCACACTTGAGTTTTTGGGACATAGTATGGTTCATTCTCTGAAAGTCTACACTTTCGGGGGGCTTCTGAACTCAGCAACTAAGATCGCGACAGGAGATCGTCTCTAGCACCTCGGAAGAAGAAGAGATCGAGTCGCAAGAAACGCGAGCGACAGTGTCTTGGACAGACACCCCCTGACGTCTTTAGTGCTTAAGGGTTAGGGTTTAGGACATGTACAAGCTAAGTCTGTGCAAAAGGGTTTAGGGTTTAGTCTTAAGTTGGAGATCAGTTGGCGCACAAAATACTGGAACCCAAACTTGGATGTTAGGGGTTTCTGGGTGCTCCTACTCAGGGTTGAAGAATATCGTAAATATGTTAGTCGTACTGCAAATTGAATGGCTAGCCTGTGCCCTGTCGAGGTTATGTAACCCCAAAATGCTTATGTAACCCCAAAATGTCCTAGAAAGGCTTACCCTTGGCTCCGCGACTAGGACGTGAAATCTGTAGGCTGATGCAATGGCTTCAGCTTAAGATGAATGTGAAAACCTCAGAGAAAAGAATCGGGTTGCTTAAACCTGTAGCTCTGTGTCTCGATGGTCTAATTCTGAACGAACTCATGGAATACATAACTAGAGGCGTAGTTCTGTCTTAAATGCTGGATGCTCACAGGTGTTGGCGCTGAGGGCCCAGGCTTCCATTTTCAAGGTCTAATGCCTCGATGCTAGCGCAGGGCCCGAACACGTATAAGCGGGTCGTACTTTAGTGGGCACTTCTTGTTGACTTGCTCACAGAAGCCAAAATAACTTTTCCAAATATGGAAACCCTTTTGTTGTATTGTTATGTAGCTGCGCGGGGCCCTTTGAACACCTGATTTCTTGAAACTGGTAAGCAAGTTGGCCCTGGGCCTTAACTTCTACACCTTAAGCCGGTAGCCCTAAATCCTACACCTCAAACCCTAAACGCAAGACCCTATAAACCTAAAACCCTGAGCCCTAAAACCCTAAAACCCTAAACCCTAAACCCTCGTCGTGCCAGGAACCGCGCCAGGTTTGTCCCAGTTGTAAGTGCTGACACCCTTCATCCCAGAACCTTAGAACCTAAACCCCAAAACCCCAAACTCCTAAACCCTACAAGCCCCCTATTGAACCTTTAGCGATTTTTTTAAGGAACCTTACTAGGACTGTAACTAGTATCCCTTCAAAGGAACCCATCCCAGGAAGCTAGCGAGGGCGTTGGCGAGAGCCGCGAAGATCGCCCCGACTCGAGCAGCGACACGACATGCCAAGGCGCAGTTAGGGTCTGGGCTTTACGGGCGTACGGCTTCTACAAGGGTTTATGCCCAGAGAGCCCAATACCCCTTTAATTAAGTTAAGGAATGTATAATAATAATAACAATAATAATAATAATAATTATTATTATTATTATATATATATGTACCTTGAAATATCGGCGGGCTTCATATTATGATTTAAGGCATATTCCTTACTTGGTATTGGGCTCGCTCGGTACAAGGTTCTATACGGGGTTATGGCTTCCCGACCAGGGTCCTCTGGCTGGGTGGGTTGTGGGTGGGGCTTCTGGGGACAATGTTTCGGGTATACGTGTCTTTGGTCAGTTTCAAAATGTGGTTGCGATTGACGAGTTATTCCCAAAGTCCAACCCATCATAACGGAGTGGTCTGAAGTTGAGAGGACAGGATGTTGCATCTGACTAATGGTTTCTCCGAAAACGTTGACGAAGCGTGACCTTCGTGGTGGCCTCCTTATGGAAGGATCTGAATTCAAGAAATGATTTGATTTAGAAGCTCATCCGGATTAGGATGTAGGCCGGCTTCGGTGTCTTGACATGCCTACAGTGTTCACACTACTAGACTTGAAGTTGCAGAAGAGGAGGGTCTACCTTATATACATATCAAGCATCCACCCCATGCCATGCCCTGCCTGCCTGCATGCATGCATACATGCATACCTACACAGAGACAGAGATGCATGAAGGCCTGCATAGGTACATACTCTCGTACACATACATACAGGAGCATGCTAGACGTACACGCATTGAAACATGCTTGCATATGCATAGATATACGTGCGTATACAAGCAATTACATGGTACACGCATACATACATACATACATACATACATACATACATACAGACAGACAGACAGACAGACAGACAGACAGACAGACAGACAGACATACATACGTACATACGTACATACATACATACATACATACATACATATATACATACATACATACATACATACATACATACATACATACATACATACGTACATGTACATGCATATACACACATTTTCACATATGCATACGTACATACGTACGTATACGTACATACTTACGAACATACATGCATGTTTACATTCAGACACACATATGTATATACACAGGCAGGCAGCAGGCAGGCAGGCAGGCAGGCAGGCTGGCTGGCTGGCTGGCTGGCTGGCTGGTATGCATGTGCACACATACAGGCGTGCATGCATGAATAAGTGCTTACATGCACACATCATGCACAGGCTTCCAACAAATCTTTCAGTCAAGCAGGGAGACAGGCAACATGCGATCATAGGGAGTGCTGGCAATGCCACACAAGTCAACTGCAGCCTCAAACGGCAGGCACTGTTCCGGTTGACGCGTTGCGGCCTACACATGATTTCCACCGCAAGTACTTCCGCGATGGATGCCAGGCTGCCAGTATTCGCATTGCCACAGATGAGCTGACACCGCTCATTCCTTCTTGCTTTGTCTCTCAAACCCTCAACCCAACAACCTTCACTCGGCGCCTGCCTGGTGCTGTTCTTTGGCCGCAGTGGTTTGTAAGAGTTACATCGGACCAACAGACGCCAAGAAGGTGCAACTGTCTTGTCGTAGAGTGCTAGAGGTTTGTCTTTCACGTGGTTTTGCCTCTGTGCATGTACGCTGCTGCAAGCAGTCATACTGCCTGTTCCTTTGACATGGGGCTTTGCATATGCAATCTTGTGTCAAGCTTGTGTTGAGGATTTCAGCCTCTTCGGATCAAAGGGCTGCTTCCTGCCATGGCAGTCGATTCGACTGGTACCCTAAAGCCGAAGCTCTAAACCCTCAAACAAACCGTGCATCGGGGCTCCCTACCCCAAAAAGCAAGCCTCCGGCCGACTCCCTTTGCTTTAAAACTCCAATAAAACGCCACGCCCCAGAACCCGAAGACCCAAAATCGGCCCTTAAACCGCTAAAGCCCAAACCGCAAGGCTCAAGGCTCCGAAAACCCCCCAAAAAAATCCTAAGCCAAGGAAGAAGCCCTACATACTATGTCCCTCAACCCCACAACCCAAAAATGAGGGGACGCCGAGGAAGAAGCCTGAACTCCTTGGTGGAGGATCTTCTGAGTGGCAAGTGGCCCGTTCTGGAAACGAGCTTCCTCAGACTGCGATGCTCGAGACATGGTGGAAGGTGGGCTTTAGGTTGGTTGGTTGGTTGGTTGG